TCCATTAGTTGAAGTTTAATGGAAGAAATTTATGCTTTATTCATGCATGTATTTTGCAAAGGGAATTCCTTTCTCCCAATTAGCAGTTCTAGACAACAAAAATTTGTACAGATTTGTGCAAATAAGAGTTAAGATGTATTACAAGTGACATTTTCTGTCAAGTATTAAATTTAAACACGGTAGCAAACTTGGGGATTTATATCAAAAGTGCACCTTCAATCTTCCTTTGATCAAATAGCAATTTGAAATCTCAAAATTTACCTCTGTCTTGCAATAAAGCATCACCAGCCCTTGTTTTGCCATTCATCCTTGTATAAACACTTCGTGTTCAGATTGGTTCGGGTTATAACAGCTGATTAAATATGTGATTTACCTGCTTATGTTGCATAAAATAGCTCTAGATTTATATGTTATTTTTGTTCATTTGCCAACTATGCCTTTTTAGTCCCAATTTTCTGTAGAAAGTCCCTAAACATTGTAAAGGTTATATTCTATGTCTCTGAGATTTTTTTTTCTTCCAGATGACAATGAATTTAATTGTATGGTGATTGGTGAATGGTATGACCATTATATGCATGAACTTGATTGTTAAATTTAGTCAAGATGAATTGAAATAGAGCATTTAAAAAATATACAAAGCAATAATATGGAAAAGTTCACTAAAGTTGTAAAGACAAAAAAAAAAGAAGTCTTTGATGTGTTTTTAAATTGAAATGTCTTATATTTAGAATATTTTTTTAATTTAGGTCTCGATCCAGCAAAAAATGTGACTGATGTGGATTTCATTTTTGGCAGGACCTTGTCTGAAGATGACAACGTAATGCGGTGTTTGCCATAAAAGGCTATCCATATCTGGTCCTGAATGACAGCTCCATTCATTTGTATGTATATTGTGTGGTTAATTTATTGATTTTCCCAGATCAGTGCCCTCTACTATAAAAAGAATAGGTCAGCACCTTAAGCTGAAATCTGTAATTGAGATCTAACTAAATTCTGACTTTTATGTCGGGGTGAGGATTGTGGGGGCCCCCCTTTCTTTTGTGATGGTGTTAAGGGAGAGGGGGCCGAAGGTGTCTATTTCTGTTCCTGCTAAATCGGAAACTGCTATTTTCTGATGAAAATTTTATGGGGAGAAATGAAAGAGAGAATAATTAGATTTTTGATAGCAATGGCAAGTAACTGACATTTTAAGTGGTAGGGACAGACTACTGTGTCAGGGAACTGACCTTTGTCATTGTCGAGGAAATCTGTGAATGACATGGTTAATTGGTATTTATCACTTTCTTGTAATGTTATATATTTATAGAATACAATCGGGCTGTTTTTATGAATGAGATCATTTTACTATACGACATAAAGTTTGCACTTGATGCATCATTAAAATGAAGGAAATAAAACAGTTTGAATGGAGATTTAGTACAAAAGCTGAAAAGTACTTTTAATATGCATTTACTATCAGTTAAAAAAGTAATTTGGGATAGTATTTGTTCAAAATGAAAATTAAAGGAAAACAAATGTGATTTACAGGAATACTATATATAGTTACAGGAATACTGTATATAGTTACAGGAATACTATATATAGTTACAGGAATACTGTATACTGATTCTTAATGTAAGGACAAGTGTATCAAAAATAAATGAAAATCGTACAAAATTTCTTGCAAACTATCCAGTGACCCTAAAATTCTTCTAAAAAAATCCAGCTTTGTTTTAGCTTTGCCAAAATTCCTTTTAAAAAAATGTCAAATTTAAGGGAAAATCCTTAAAAACCCTTAATTTTCCATGCCAGTTCCTATTTATTTTATATTTCTTCTCTTGCAATTTTGAAAATGCATTCATTCAAAATGTGTCCTAATGGAGTTTGCAGTTCTTATTCAGATTATGCAGTGAAAGACATTTAACCAATGTCAAGACGCTCCTCCTGCACTTAACAATATTTTTTTGAGTTTTTATTTATTGTCAAATTTGTGAAGTTAATAGATTTGAATGTGTAAAACTGTCCTAATTTAATCATAAAATGCCTAACTTTAGCCCTACATCAGCCCTAAATTTTCTTAAATTTGGCCCTAAAATTTGCTCTAATTTTTTGTCAGAGTGTTGGACAACTTCTTGTTGCTGAATGGTAACTTTTAAGTCACCTTTCTTTTGACTTTCACAGAAATTTTCAGATACATGTGTCATCTAAGATTTGAATGATCTTAAATGAACATACATGTTAATTTTTTGAAAGTGGTTGGGAAATGGTCCTTTATGAAACACTGAAGGGCACATTGATGTTTCCTTCAGAACTCGGAACCAAAAAAAATGAAGCACATGAAAAGAAGAGTGTATTTAACTTAGGATTGGCAATAGGTTCCCAGTTGGTTGGATCAATGAATGTACGTAAATTAAAAGTGGGAGTGTATGATATGAATACACAAAATCTGAGGTAAACCACTTCTGAAAACTATTGGCCTTGACTTCTGTAGAGAGTGGTCTTAATTTTGAATAAAAAAATTGAATTCAGTTGCTGTCACTTCCTCCATACAAATTTAGGGAATTGAAAGTACATATAATAAATATTTCAATGTCAATCATTTATTTGTCACCAAGAGATCTATTTTTGGGAAGGGTCTTTTATTTGCAGCTTTTTTTCAAGAAGTGAGGGGGAGATACTGATTTGCATTGGTGAAAAAATTGAATTTATGATCGCTCTTCAAACTTCTGTAATTTGTCATTGTGATTCAAGTACAAATCTGAGAAGTGTTTGCTGTGGTTTTTTTTTGTGATGACAGAAGATTAGAAAAGCGATTTTATTGACAGAATAATTGTTCTAAAACTATGTGAACTTGAGTTGAAATCAGTGTTTATAAAATTATATGAATTATGAGTGATTTTATTATCACTATACAGAAATTGCCGAAATCTTTTGATTAAGGAAGTGTTACCCCCAGCACGCTCTCATCCTTGAATGATCTTTAAAAAAAAAAGTTTGAAGTATCGTGAGTCATACAGTGTTACCCCATTAATTTTTCTTGTCAACTGTAAATCCTGCCACACAGAAACTGAATTCATCTATTTACTTATTATTCCTTTTTTTTTTACCTGTTTTGAGCGTGAATTTCACACACTTGTCAAATTTTAAGTGGAGCATCAAGTTTGATGGGAAAGAACCAAACTAGGAGTTTCCAATGTCTCCATCAAGATCAACATGAGTCTTTATTGGCTTAAGTCTAATTGGAGGGACTTAAGTCCTTTATCTGCCCTATTACCTTGCTTTTAATCATTCAAGTGAAATTTGGGACAAATGATCTGTAGAGATTCCTCTTCATAGAAGGGAGGGACTGTCACTTAATGCTGTTTTGTGTGTGTGTATTGGTTTATTGAGGTAAAAATAAAAGGGGGGATCAAAATGCTCTTATTCAGACTGCCCTCAATCAGTGATTTGCATGCAATGGTAGAACACAAGGGGTCGCACAAGGTCAATGTAAGATAAGACTGTAACTGCTCTCTCAGATATTGTGCTGTTTAGGGCACCTTAACATAGGTAATCACACCTGTCTGTGACTGAAGGTCTACCAGACAGGCAGTATGGAAAACTCAGCTCAGATATATTGTGCTTGGTAGGGGGTCTTTAAAACGTAGGTTCTTATAGAGAGTGCTGTTAGGGTTAGCTACTTCTGTGTTTTAAATTGGGATTTAATAGGGTTTTTTTTAAGATTAAAGGTAATTGAACTTATTTTTCAGTAATAAATGCATGAGTTTGAATATTCACTGAATTTTTTTTTTTTTTATAAAAAATGCAATTTTTGTATTCATTAATTAATAGGATATCTATGCTTAAAAGTGAAAACTGAAAATTAGCATGATATGAAAAATAATAATTTGGAGGGTTGCAGTTGGGTGTGAAACCTTGATCTATACTAGAATTGTTAGCTAGTACACACAATATATCTTGTATTAGAATTTACATCAAAAGGACATTTGAATAAGTCGGCAACTTTTTGAGAAAGGTTAGATCATTCTTTGTGTAAAAGATTCTTTTGTTTTTTGGAGTAGGTGATATTCATTAGAAAAAAAGTTTTATTTAAGGACAGACGATACTTTCCTCAATAATATATAATTTTTTCCAAGATTTTGTCATTGAAGTATTGCTACTTTAAGATGTTTACTCACAAAAAAATTGAGGTACCTTACCAGAACATTTGTGCAAGATAGCAGAGAATGGTGTTTCCTATATAATCCTTTTGGGAAAAACTTCATTTGTCAATATCACACTTTTTAGTGCTTCGGTTATTTTAAGACAAGAAGAAACCTGCTAAGAAATCAGAAGGAAATAAAAATTTTGAATATTTTTCATACATTACGAAGATTTGCAAAACAAATATTTGAGGAACGTATCGTCTGACCTTAATTTAACTATTACATTAAAAACCAGAAATTATTCAAAGACAGATTTTATTGCATACTTATCCAGATTTTAGACAATGCCATAGTATACACACATATATATAAATACAATCTCCCTTCTAAAATTGACACCAATAAAAGTGTAGGTAGATTGCGAGGATCTTCTGCTTCATAAACACCAATTCTGTAATCCACGAGCCCTCACCATTCAGCAATAACTATTTATTGTTAATGTTATTCAAGCAAAACACTTGTTAGAAAACACGGTAGAGACACAGGCTGTCTTGTTTGTATGGAGTTCTAGCCACGAGTAGTTTTGTCAATGAAGACGATTTAAGCACCTTGTTACCTTAGGCAGGCTATAGTAAACTGCAGACGGTCAATTATTCTGAAAGTGGACAGACTTTGAATTGAATTAAGTTTTATTTTGGAGATTTAATTTTATTTTTTTATATTTTTTTGTTATTTTTTAAAAATATTTTTTCTGTATATGTGAAAAATAAAAAAAATCTTCTGCAGGAATTCTTATGCGAGTGATATGCACTTTTACAATGAAACTTTTTATATGCAGATATATTTATTGACATGGTGAACTTCAAGAGAGTTTTTGCGTATTTTCATCCAATATGTGATAAATATAAAGTGATTGTATAATTAACAAATTTGTGAAATAACTTGGAAGAGGACTTTAAAAATGTGGCAGTATATGAAGACAATTCCTAATCAACTTTTTCCACATGGACTTATCAAATCCAAACTCTTGCCAATGGTAATGTATTTGAAGTTTATTAATAATTCTACATACTTCAGTTGCGGTTATTATTTTATAAGGGTCAGAGGGAAATTTGTTTTCATAATAGGTTTATTGTGTTGGTTCCATAATTATGGTGTTTTTATTACCTGTTTTATGACATAAGTGTGCATTAAAAAAAACAAAAAATGTGACTAATTTATTTGCATATCAGGTTACTTCTGTGTTCTCACATAGTAAGCCTTCCTTGCTGCATGCCGGCAGTGTTAAGAAGAAATTCATCAATAGATAAATTTTCATTGAAAGAGGAAACAAGAAACTTTGCAGATCACCATTATTAAGATGTGTATAAAGTGTCTTAACAGGTGACAGGGCTTATGTTAGCCTGGGTGTTAAAATACTCAAATTTATTTTCTGCAGTATTATGTAAGAATGAGATAGCAACACAGTTAAAAAATTTGATCAAGCATCTAGATTTTTTGGAAAGGTGTTATAATGTGAAGATATGTCATCTACACTGATGCTTTCACTCTATGTTAGCCATTTAAACTTTCTAAAGGAAACTAAGACTCTGTTTTAAGTGTGATAAGGAGTCCGAAAAATAAGAAATACGGGCCAAAATTTTATATATGTGTAATGGTGTAGGGCCTAGGGACTTACTAAATACATAGATATGTATCATCTATGGAAATTTTAAGAAATTCATTTATCAGATGCTCTACAGTATAAGCACTGCCTACATCTTTTCATTAACATTAGCTCTTACTTGGCTGGTCCCTCTTTAAAGCCTGGGTTTGAGCATTGTTCGTTTGCCTGGGAATAGGGTAGAGGACCTCTGTACCACTGGTGTCACTTCTCCTATTCAGCTCGCCAGTTCGAGTCCAGGTGGTCACTAACAAGATCACGATTATTTTGGAACTCTGGCAGAGGGACACGTTTCTGATGGGGAAGTTTGGGCATGGTACCAGCTCCTTGTGTAGGAGCGGGGCTCAGTTTTCCAAAGTAAACAATCTCCTTATCTGATGACAGATGCTATTGGAGATTGGGGGTTTTCATCACTACTACCTACTGAAGAATTACAATGTAATGATTTTTAATTTCAGATAAGTTAGAATTGTGATTTGTGATGTCAGGGTATTTGAGCCTTAGGTCATTTTAGACAATTGGAAAGTGTTGAACCTTTTCTGATCAAAAGAAAATTGCAATTAGTTCAACAAGTGCCAGTTAGATAAATGCAGTGATTTATATACAGTGAAAGTATTGCCAGGTATGGATGAAAAATTTTAAAGGATCTTTGACCAAAATTAAGTCATGCAATTTGATTGCATTAATTATGAATCATTAACCTAGTGTGCTGTACCAAATGACTCAAGATATTCCTACAAAGTTTTTTTGAAAATTAATTAACCGTAAATGAAGTAGTGAGTAAGGGTTGAAAGTGCCGCATTTGTAACATTAGCTTAATCCCACTATCTTTGTGATAAAAACTCGGAGTTTTGATGTTTTTTTTTTAATGGAGAAGGGTATTAACAGGGAATAAGTCTGCATCTTGTTTGTAATGATAGCTATTTCATGATAAAAACCATTACGGGAGTCCAAGAATTGAATTTCTTCATTGTTCATAATCTACATTTTTTGATGACTTTTCTTGTTGAAAAAGTTGGAAGATTACGTACTAAAAAAGTTTTTGGGGGTAGGAAACATCAATTAAAGCGTTTGACACCAACAGAGTGAAAATTTAGAATTTGGCAATTGTTTGTTGGTGATTGATTTTTTTGACAATGAATGTCACTTCAAAGAAAATGATAAGATTTAACACTGACATTTGTATTAGATTTTTTACAGCAAGGTTATCCCGTGACAGGGTGAAAAGTATACACTGGTAGAGAACTACTTATTACGTGCCTGACGGAGACTCGCAAATCGTTAACATTTTTGACCTTTTTTAGATTTTAATTATTTCGTACAAAATATTTTTCTTTAAAATTTGAAAAAAATATTTGACCTGAGTTAACTTCCTACTTGGGAGTCAAGTCCTGGAGATAAAATTGCAAATGAAACATTTTTTTTCCCCCTCCATGCACTGTATAACCCGGTCCCCGAGTATCATGTGTAACTGATCACAATCAAAATCCTATCAGAATGAAGAGTCATTTCGGGCATACAATAATTTTATAAAATTCCATGTATTATTTGCTGTGAATATAATTGTCAAGATTACATAATGAAAGAATTTTGATGCCGTCAGTATGAAAAGAAGCGTGCACGACTTGGGTTCATTTTACATCATTTATGGCATACTTTTGGTTTTGACTTTTTCTAAACAAACTGCATAATTTCAATATTTGTATTGTAAATAGAAACCCAGGGATATTAATCATTACAGTGTTAATAGGAAATCTTGTTTTTAAGAAGTATAATTCTATATTTATATAAACATGATGAATTAGGATATCCTTCGAGGTGACCTATAAGAACCAACTTCACTTCACTAAATCACTTTCAATGATATACAACCTTTTTTTCTATAACTGTCATTAGTGAATACAAATGTGCTTAAACTTAACACCATGATCCATGGAAATCAAAGTTATTGGGTCATATTGAGAAGAGGTTCATTTGAGTCCATTATTTTGTGTAATGAAGGGAGATAAATCTTTAACACTGCCATACTATTTATTGTTAAGACTTTAAGTGGCTAGGATATACATGTATCTGGTAGAAACTCCATGACACCTAAAGTGTTGTTTTATAACCCCTAATAAATTATCCTCTATATTTTGTATCCAATTTTTTCTAGTATTTTGGCATGAACTTGTTGATTTCTCCAAATAAGGAAAGTTTTTCAGTGTTGAAAAAATAAAGAAACAGTTACAAAGGTGTTAGAAGAAAATAACAGTAACAGGAAATGCACACCTATTAAAGGTTATTTGCATTTAGTTATGAATTTAATGGTGTATTTGATATCTAGTATATAGTTTACTTTTCTTCGTAATGCATTAAACTTGATACAACTAGGAAGAGATAAGGGTTTTATGGGATATCGCTTACATACAAACATCCTGTATATATAAAATGTATATAAAAATCATTAATATGTAAATTTGTGGTTAACTTCATGATGCTCCCAAAAAATCTGTGAATGAAAACTTTTTTTGGTAGAAATCGGTGTGTGAAGGATTAAGAGATAGGACACTTGTTTATGATATCAGCTAAACTAATAATGACTAATATGTATTATAAGCAAAGCATACTTTAAACCTCAAAGGATTGTATTTTGAAAAATTGGGGGGGGGGGAGGAACAAAGCAATGAAAATGTCAGGAAATAAAACTTTGTAGAAGATGGATTGGGACATAATGAATGAGAATGAAATAAATAATTGTTTAGCGAGAAAAGGATAAGTAAAAATCTCACTGGTTGAAATTTACTTAAAAATTTGTTTGAAAAAAAAAGTATCTAATGATTAATTTTTTTTTCTACGAATGGTGATATGTATAGCACATTTGGGGAAAATCCTTCAATTTTTACCAGAATCAAACTCTTGTTTCAAAGATTGTTCAAAATAAATCAACTACATAACCTGCCAAATAAATGTTTTAATTTATAAGCAAATAAAAAATTATGCTTTCACTTGTATCTGATTTGATAAGGTGTTTATTTTACTAGAAAAAAATTAAATATGGTATATTCATCTTTAAATCTTCTTTAAAATCCTAATTCATAATAGTGAATAGAAAGTAGTTCTTAGGTACTTTTACTCTTATATTAACCCAGTTCCATTTCAATGTGTATTCAACAGAATTTAAATGAATTGCTTACAATGCTAAGGACAATTCAACATGTGCGTCTTTTTATTAAATTTTATCTTCTGGAACAAAGTCGTTTACGATAATTATGTATGGTTTACGTATAATGATATGAAATACGTAAACCTGCCAGTGCTGTAATATCAGACGTAAGATGAGGCTTTTGATAGGTGGGTGATGTATGTTTGCGGGTTTCTCAGTGTTACGTATTGTTACTCTGTTTCTTCAATAAGAAGGTAGACTTCTTGGTTGGAAGATCAAAAACGAAGATTTGTAAAAGAGTCCCAGTGTGTTGGCAAACAAATCATTTTCAATCAACTTTTGTCAATTTTTTTTTATGCAAAGAAACTTGGAATACTGATGAGTGTATTATATTAGATTTGCCTGTTTGATGACTAACAAGATGGTAGCTGTTGATGAATTGAAAAGACTCTTCTTTACGATGTTTGTGTATCTGAGGTTAGAATAAATTTCATTCATAAATCTTTTAAAAGTTATGAATCACTTACTGGGTTAGTTTTTATTGGCTAAGTCCATTAAATGTAGAGCAAATACACTCAGAGAATAAAGAATATGATTGTAGTCTTTGATACGTAAAGAACCTCAATTAAAGGGTTTTCTTCAAATGCGTGTAATTTGATCGAAGTATAATAAAGGGGTTATGATTATTCATACACAATTTCTTATGATATCAATCTGTTAAAGACTTCATAGGAGGGAATTAGCATAAATCTTCAGTTGAAAGAAAATAGGTGCACATTAGCCTAGTTTTATATGTAGGGTGTAAATTGCATAACTAGCCAAAGTTGATTTATTCAATGAGTGTGTTTTATAGGGGTAGAATAGTCCTTGATAAGGACTTAAGAACACCTTCATTCAATTACCTTGCTGTCTGAAAATGAGCAAATTGAATATAAGGTTTGAGAAACCTTGCAGGTACACCCTTTTACTGGTAAAATCTCCCATAAGTGTTTCATCGATATTTTATGCTTCTACTTGTATTGTATATCATAGCAGGGATATATGAATGGATTTCAGTGAAATTTGAGGAAAAGACATGTTTTAACATGAGTAAGAATCAATTAGATTATTTGCAGCATTGATAAAGTCCCTTTTTTTGTTGTCATAAGAAATAAACATTGAATTTTCTCAGAGATTGCAAATGCACACAGAAAATATTTGTCACATGATTGATTGGTGATTAAGGGCA